CATTGTCTTGACATTTTTATATTGTCTTTGCATTAGGTTGGCATTGTCTTGACATTTTTATATTGTCTTTGCATTAGGTTGGCATTGTCTTGACATTTTGATATTGTCTTTGCATTAGGTTGGCATTGTCTTGACATTTTATATTGTCCTTGCATTATGTTGGTATTGTCTTGACATTTTTACAGTCTTAGAATGATAGACTGTGGAACTATCATGATAATACATTTATGTTTATTTATATTTGTATGACTATAATAAGAGAAAACAATGAATGTCACAACTACAATTCATTAGTTGTTAACAAATACTAAAACATTTATACAATGTAAGTATATTTGGTGTATCAACATTACAGTATATCACATCTATTCATTCTATCAACATTACAGTATATCATATATATACGACGTGCTATCACAAGTTGATACTCTTTATTAGTGTGATTAAACCACGCCTGCTTATTGTGTCCAGTGGAGTGTTTTTGAAAACCAGCTCATTTTCACATCGTTCAGTTAGCGGAATCATGTCCAAATCGATGACGTTGGAACACTGCTCAGCTTTCCCAGGAAATATCTCGTTAGGAGTACCACTCCCCCATAACCATTCCTGGAAAGAGGTCAGAGAGTCGTACACATGTATTCTTGTTGTCCCTGTAAATCCAGGTTCATTGTTTCCAGAAAAGAACAATGATCTTTTGAAATATGGGTCGCACAATGCTGTCCAATAGTACTCAGGTGATGTAAGTCTGGAGGTGAAATATAATATATTAACAATTCAATGAGTGATTGAATAAAAATATGTCAAGCTAGTTTTTCACACGTTTAACAATAATATTGTAATGGTAACTATTCCGTTTGGTTAATACTAGTAAATTCTCAAGTCTGCCTTGAACGTGTGTGAATTCAATGGTATACATAAATTGGCAAAATATGTTGAATATATTCAGGGACGAGTACAAATGAGATTATTGTATAGATGTGCGCATCTGTAAACGAAAGAGAGCAAATGGACGAGATCCTAAATTGGACACATGACCACAACTGACCCTGATCCTGTGTCAACTGTGGTAACTATAAACAACCAGCAACTGACCCTGATAATGTGTCAACTGTGGGAACTATTAACAACCAGCAACTGACTCTGATCCGGTGTCAACTGTGGTAACTATTAACAACCAGCAACTGACCCTGACCCTGTGTCAACTGTGGTAACTATTAACAACCAGCAACTGATCCTGATCCAGTGTCAACTGTGGTAACTATTAACAACCAGCAACTGACCCTGATCCGGTGTCAACTGTGGTAACTATTAACAACCAGCAACTGACCCTGACCCTGTGTCAACTGTGGTAACTATTAACAACCAGCAACTGATCTTGATCCGGTGTCAACTGTGGTAACAATTAACAACCAGCAACTGACCCTGATCATGTGTCAACTGTGGTAACTATTAACAACCAGCAACTGACCCTGATAATGTGTCGACTGTGGTAACTATTAACAACCAACAACTGACCCTAATCCGGTGTCAACTGTGGTAACTATTAACAACCAGCAACTGACCCTGATCCGATGTCAACTGTGGTAACTATTAACAAACAGCAACTGACCCTGACCCTGTGTCAACTGTGGTAACTATTAACAACCAGCAACTGATCCTGATCCGGTGTCAACTGTGGTTACTATTAACAACCAGCAACTGACTCTGATCCTGTGTCAACTGTGGTAACTATTAACAACCAGCAACTGACCCTGACCCTGTGTCAACTGTGGTAACTATTAACAACCAGCAACTGACTCTGATCCTGTGTCAACTGTGGCAACTATTAACAACCAGCAACTGACCCTGATCCCGTGTCAACTGTGGTAACAATTAACAACCAGCAACTGACCCTGATCATGTGTCAACTGTGGTAACTATTAACAACCAACAACTGACCCTGATCCGGTGTCAACTGCAGTACCTATTACAACCAGCAACTGACCCTGATCCGGTGTCAACTGTGGTAACAATTAACAACCATCAACTGACCCTGATCCTGTGTCAACTGTGGTAACTATTAACAACCTGCAATTGACCCTGATCCGGCGTCAACTGCAGTAACTATTAACAACCAGCAACTGACCCTGATCCAGTGTCAACTGTGTCAACTATTAATGGACGATGAAATTAAAACAAAACAAGTAACCTGTAGAATGATGTGTGGGTAATATTTTTATATTGATTTTTGTTGCACTTGCAGCAAATAGTTACCAAACAATGAGAAATCTATAGGATTGGATATACCTCTTAGCTGGCTTCACATGCATAGTTCAAGCCTGCCTAACTTGTGCTTATACCAGGATTTAGTTACAGCACCTAGACGGTCTGTGGTTAAAATCGGCTGTTCTTTCGCCGGTCTGGAAAATGTGTTTAATTAGCTCTCATTCAAGCAACAATGCAGATTTCCCAGTGGGGGTGAAACTAGTTCGACTCTGCCATTAAAAATAGGGGTGTTTTTAGCAAAAAACGAATAACCCTTGAGTGCACACAATACACTGAATTTCGGAACAAATCTTGCATTATTTACAGCAGCAGAATACCACAGAAATATCAGCCGAAACATGAAAACACTATATATTGTATTTCGGCCTGAACCCTCTCTATTACAATTCCAGGAATAACCCCCGTATATGCAACCATTTTCCACCTTGGTATCACCCACCCCTGAAAACAAACTCTTAATACCACGCTGAAGCGTTTGGTAATAAATTATTCAGTTTTACCAAATGAAACGATAATCAGACGTCTAAGTTTATTCATTGTCTAAGACACACCATTATTATAACATGGATACAAACTCACCTATTATTGGCAATTTTTATAGGAGTGGCATGAGGTCGAGTCCCAGTTACAATAAACACCTCTTGCGAATCATCCACAATTTGGGTGCCAGGATGTGTTCTTAAATACCACACATAATGCTCTACAAGACACTCCATTGTATTCCATTCACCATTGTTGAAGCTTGTTAGTTGAGGCGCTGCATTGGTAAGAGTAAACGTTGACTGCATCATATATATATCAACCATATTGTGGATTCCTGATGGATTCAGATGACCTCGGCTCCACAAGCCTTTCACGGCATTATTGGCAACATTGTAGTCACTGTCAGATGACTGCATATCTGCATGATAAGATCAGCGACACATAATTATTTTATGTACACTAGCTCAGTGAAACAATTATCACCTTGCCACAAGCACAGTGAAACAACAAGAGAACTAGTGATGGTTGTAGAACCATAACTGTTATATAATACAAGGGAATGTAAAGGGAAATGTATTGTAGTGTTACCTCTGTGTAATTAATCTGCATTAACCTTCACTGTGAAGGGCAATGTGGAGTTCACTTAAATGACTGGTAGAAGCAAGGCTGGGCTAATTTTTCGAAATAACAGTAGTTAGTTAGAATTAGACACGCAAGCGAGACATTGTGGGATATCGAAATAGGGATGATAAACAGCAACTGATATTTCCAGAGATATAGTGAGAATTGAAGCAAAGGAGTGGCCTATTAATCCATGAAACATACTCGCGCATATCCGTACATATCACCCTGTCTTATTGTGTGTGTGTGGGGGGGGGGGGGGCTCTCATGTACACAATCATAATAACTGGAAATGATTTCAGAACGGAAAACCGTATTATTACTGTAAATGTTTATGAACAATAAAAACTGAAATTTAGAAAAACTATGAACAATGAATAATGAAAATCTATGATTTGCTGTACAGTTTCTAGAAAATTATTACAAGTCTCACTTTGCAAACTCGCTAAATTGGTTAACTGCTTGAGATGCTGAATTGTTCAGGACGGACATCGAGTTACGGAAATGATCACGCCCATATTTTTGAAACCACGTCCAAATTGTAACTCGATGTTCAATCACGATTAACAGTTAACAGAACTTCGAGTTACGGGCAACATACATTGTGGTTTTTGTCTAACTGCTTAGGTTTGGACTAAACAGTTGGATTTCGAATCTCGATAGCACCGTCTTGTGGTCACACGTCCACTCTGGGATATTCATATAACAGTGGAGACGATCGTCATACTTTAGGAGCTAATCAGCGACGGTCTTACAATTGGATGGCGATTTCGCTTTCAAATATACCAGGAAAAGTGTTCTATGTTCTTTATGTAATGAGGTATTTGTATACAAGGGATTGTCTACGCAAAAACGACGAATGAGGTGGAATATTATTATCGGTTGGATGTGAAAATTTATTTTCTACTTATTTGTGGGTAACTGTTTCTCAACTTGTCTCTTTATTTAGTTTCAAGCCGTATTCAAGTTGGCTAACCCCATATAAATTGTAAATTACTCGCACTAGTTTTACGTTGTCACTCCTCGAATAACAAAGCAAATCATTCAGGAGAATCCAGACATGTACCAGACCACGTAAAAGCATTATATATCACCTAAAACAATATAGACTCGCCCAGAGTAGACGCGACCACAAATCGGCGCCAGCGAGATTCGAAAGTCAACTGTTTGGACAAAACCCAAGCAGTTAGCCAATTCGCTAGCGAGTTTGCAAATTGGCTGCCCCAATACTTCTGAGATTTACTGTAACAGAACCATAACATTTATAAACGGCACAGTGCTGAGATTCACTTCGAGTATACCTGAAATATACTCTTACAATCGCACACGAGTCAAAACGTACAGTTTGGTGACAGTTGGGAATGATACTAAGATTTACAATTCCATGAGAACATCGCGATGCTCTTTTAACAATACACCCATTTTTCACACTGTACAAATATAAACAAGACTCTAAACCTTCCTGACAGTAACATGTCAGTGTTGTAGTATAAACCCGAATGAAAACGTTCATTGTTTCAAAATTTTTCAAGATAAACGTCCCAAGGTCGTTCTGTTTACCAGAAGGAAATGTCTTTTGGCAGCATTTCTTGCATTAATTTTCATTGCACAAAAAAGCAGCAAATACTGTTACTGAAGCACAGAATTTGCATGATTTGTTTTCCCCGACCATTCACGCGAACTGCAAATCAAGTCTTCTACTGCATCCATAGTTGTAGACACTTTGCAGCCGCAATGATGGTTGCATTGTGACGTATTTTGACCCCCGGATTCTGGTCTTGCATTCTGGCTACATTTAACTCCCTTTCATACCAGTTCAATTTCCTTTCATTATTTCCTCCATATTCCATGACATTTAATATTTAAAACCAACTTTTATTTCACAGTCACTCTAATTTTCACGTTTCTAAAATTATTTTATTGATCAAAAGACTTTTCATTCCCATCATGCAATCTCCCATAGTACTTCCGCAGACACAGCGGCGATCGCCAACATAACTACAAATAACCTCGCTCTCAGGAGCTGAGGAATTATCACTTTATCACAAGCACAGTGAAACAATTACCACCTTATCACAAGCACAGTGAAACAATTACCACCTTATCACGCGAAACACTGAAACAATTATCACTTTATCACAAGCACAGCGAAATAATTACCACCTTATCACACGAAACGCTGAAACAATTATCACTTTATCACAAGCACAGTGAAACAATTACCACCTTATCACGCGAAACACTGAAACAGTTATCACATTGTCACAAGCACAGTGACAGTGAAACAATTATCACCTTATCACAAGCACAGAGAAACAATTTTCACTTTATCACAAGCACAGTGAAACAGTTATCACATTGTCACAAGCACAGTGAAACAATTATCACATTGTCACAAGCACAGTGAAACAATTATCACCTTATCACAAGCACAGTAAAACAATTACCACCTTATCACAAGCACAGAGAAATAATTACCACCTTATCACAAGCACAGAGAAATAATTATCACTTTGTCACAAGCACAACGAAACAAGTATCACCTTAACACAAACACAGTGAAACAATTACCACCTTATCACAAGCACAGTGAAACAATTATCACTTTGTCACAAGCCAGTAAAACAATTTTCACCTTGTAACAAGCACAGAGAAACAATTATCACCTTATCACAAGCACAGTAAAACAATTATCACTTTGTCACTAGCACAGTGAAACAATTATCACTTTCTCACAAGCACAGTGAAACGTGAAATGTAAGGACATTTAAACACATACATATGAAATTCAAAATCACGATCATGCCATTGCCATTGTATGTATATGCGCAGTAGCCGATCTAAAAACGTCGGCTCCAAAAATGCGCTCTCGGAGTGATTTAAATGAACATGGATAATCCATTGACAAATATCGCCACCTCGTCATAAACATAGTACAACTGTAGACACCTTGTCACAATATTTATGCATTGAGAGACATTTTATTTAATTTTTATTTTGAAATACATGATATCACAACTTGAATCTCGGTTACAGATAAGGCAGTGTTTTTTGCAAAGAGCTAGCTATGTGTTATAATAATAAAATACCTTTAATAAACATATTTATCTTACCTTCACATTTCTGTTTATCTAAGTATAAAGGATCACAGGGATGGCCAATTTTACCACTCTCATATGTGTACACAATATTGTTGTTGTGTTCATCAACTCCAATGGCACCCAGATCTTTGCAAGTATGTCCAACATTGCCTTCATACACTAATGGCAGAGAATTCCATTCCTTTTTGGGTACTTTCTTTTTTGTTGATTCACGACATAGACCTTGAAAGGGAAATCACAAGACCATATATGTGCTGCACATCCACTTGGCAATTTCAAAATAAGCAAATATTTGATTATAGATTGAATTTACCAATCTTGTTCATAAATGTATTGATAGCCGTAACATTAGCATATAACCCAACGGCATGAAGGTAAAATGATGATAAATGGTGTGTATAAACTAGCAATCCTATATACAATGCTCTGTGATGTAAAATTTGTGACCAGGTGCCGTCCATAAAATATCTTCTATTCAGTTTAATAACTAATCCACCAGCCAGCACGATAGACATCAATCCCCAGGCATACAAGAGAATCACTATTTGGTTTCATCTTACCTATTTCAAATCGCTTCCAGAGTGCAGAATCAACCTTTTTTCTAGAGATAGGAGCCGGAGGATTGGAATTGAGGCGACTTTGCAGAGAATGAACAGTATAAGCACTGTACTCTGGTAACCTGGCAAAGCAATACAACACACATAATAACTTTTCATTTCATAATTATATTTCATTGATGTACTATCCGCTTATGTATTGTATAAAAAACTAATGAATGTATTTACCGGAGATCAGTGTTGTAGAGAGTTGCAAAGCAGTATCTGTCTTTTCCACTTTCACTTTGCCGACATGTTTGACAGATCTTTACATTTTTGCCAAGAGACATGTCTGTCACTCTTGGTGGCCAACTATTACCGACAAAATAACCAGCACATTCAGGCGGACTGTCTGTGTCTGGGGACACAGAGCGTTTTATTCGGTATTCAGGTACTGATCGTTTGACATCTTCATCTGTGAAATGGAGTGAACAGTAAAATATGTTGAATCATATTATTATATATTTTATAAAATGAGAGAATCGAGTTACAGCATAAAAACCATTATGAATAATCGCGTTGGAGACTTGGATAACTTACCACTACTGGACGAATCCACACTGCTCCCTGTTTGTTCCCAGTGTCCTCCGTTGAAAAGGTAATCGATAATATTGCCATGACAAAAGCGGAAATTAGGATCCCCATTATGAAAATCTATGATATTTAAGAACATTTCCTAAGGTGAATATATTCTAACAAAAACTTTATGTATTACATTTTCTCACTACTAACTGTATTTTCGAATTGTGTCATTTGGTTGGTTGACGAGAAATTAAAAAGTTACAGAACCAGTTAACACAATTCTATTGCGAGAATAATACTGATCATCTGTTAATGGTACTTACTCAAATTATCAAATGGTTCCAACGCTATATATTTTGAACTATATCCAACAGCTCTATCTGTGGAGTCACAATTTTCACCTGTTACGTCATACACCAAGCACTGAAGTGAGCGAAACTTGGCAGGCGTGCAGTCATAACCACGGGCATACCCTATAAGTTTGTTATTCGTGAGGTGACCTCCGAATCCAACTCCTATATGTTGATAGATACATTGTTATGTATAAATAGAATATAATTATTTCACAGTAACATATAATCAATGAAATGCTTACTACAAATGATACTTGCAATATATAAACTGAAGATATGCATTTTACCTTCGATCTGACAGGGTACTTTGGCAACCAGCTGGTAAGCAATTCTCCCTGGTATATCGTTACTCTGTCGCATTATCTGATATTTACACGATTCCAGTGGACACCAGTCGACGCATAACATTAACTCGTTTTCTTTTACTTTTATTTTCATGTCGACAGTATTTACTGATGATACTGTAAATGTTTTACCAGACTCAATTAACCTGTGGTCTTTTGTGCTAACTTCTGTCATACTGAAACCGTATCGTATAACACGCGTGGTTCGTTTTCTTTTTAAGAAAATAAGAAAAAATGATGTTTTAGATTGTTACAGATTGTGAACATAGATTTGAGACATGTCACTTTACAACACTCAATAATAACCCCAATCATGAGTTATTTATTATATAGCATTTTCAATACCAGTAAATTGATAAACTGTAATCTTCTCAGTAATACAATGCTCGTTTGCATTTTGTTAAAGTACCACATTCACTGATAATTTTATCAATATTTGAACAATAACAGACACTCGTGTAAACCATTATGAACTGAATCGACTTTGTGTTTCATATATGTAACTAATATTCAACAACTGCACTGTACATGCTCAGAGTATAGGCATATACATTCCAATCCGAACTCAATTAGTACTCGCCTATTCCCCACTAAATCTTTGATACACTTAGTATAGGCATATACATTCCAATCCGAACTCAATTAGTACTCGCCTATTCCCCACTAAATCTTTGATACACAGAGTATAGGCATATACATTGCAATCCGAACTCATTTAGTACTCACCTCAGGCCCGTAGCCAGCACCTTTGAATAGGGGGTTCGAAAACAACAATAATATATTTTATGTGAATTTTAGAATATTCAAAAAGTGTTATTGAACTTGAATTTTTATATTCTCGGTTTTAAATTCAATTGGTTTACTTTGTGTTACGTTGGTAAGTTATTTCACATAACATCTTTAAACTATTTTACCATTTTAGAGAAAGGAGCCATTCCCCACCCACAGACAAACACACCCACACCCTAGATTCACTACGGCAAAATGTTGTACACAAGAAAGACAAGACTATACGTATCTTAGCATTATTGTCTAAGCATTTTAAGGTAAAATGCTACTCACGAGTTTTTTCGCTCTTCGCAAATGTTAGCGCACATAAAAGTGACACGATTTCATGTCGAAATCTGTCTACAATTATTCATTTTAGTATTAGTCAATTTTGTATTATGTAATTTTATTTCCGTACAGGGCCTCAGCCCATCGTACAAAATGTAATGGTAGAAAAGTGCATAGCACGTTTTAAAAACAATACAACATCCATGTAAACACATGGTACTAAGTTAAGTTAGATT